AGGGAAAACTTGGGAGTTCCTGGCTCTGGCTCAAAGGCTCAGGGCTTTAGTTTGATCTCTCTCCTATCATTTGCTCATCTCTGTATGCTTGGCTGTCTCTATTATCCGAGATCTACCTCAGGACTCATGTTCTCACCTACTTACCAAGCCGCCAATGGAAGAAGTCCATTTGCCTCCAGTGGGGAGCTGGAAAAGGCTCAAAATACACCGTGAGCTTCCCAGAAAACTTACCCCGAGACGTTTTCTTCCATCAAAACAAAGCCCAGAGAAGCGAGGAGCAGAGAGAGAACTTTGAAAGACATCATTTTCTCGGCTGGTTTCTCTGTTTGAAGGCAGCGGGCAGTCCAGACGGCCGGCCCCTGTAACACACGGGACACGAGTGAGAGGACAGGGAGCCCGGAGGGGTGCGCGGTGGCTGGGCACGTGCCTGTGCTTGTAAATGTCCTTGCGCTGCGAGCAGCCTTCTCCGTCCTACAAAGCCCTCGTCTGCCCTCCCCAGTTAAATTACTTTTTCAATGCCAACGCTCCTTCCCACCGTGGCGGCTTTTAACGTTGGTTCCCTCTACTTTTATTGTAACCATCGCGTTCATTGTGGGTTGCGCATTCCTGGAGGCAAGGGCTTTGTCTTCCTCCGTGTTTACGAGCTGACCCTGTGGGTACCGCTTTGTGCGTTGAGGGTCGAGTCAGCCTCCAGTATGCGAACGGGGACGCGCGCTGGACCGGGCAGGTCAGTAGCGGTGGCATCATCCTGCTTATCCTGCACTGCGGTTCCACGGGATTTAGGAGCCTGATCTAATTTCTGGGAGACTTTCTGTAGGGGCGGATAATGCCCTATGTAAGGACCCGAGCCGGAGTCCATGAATATCAGTCGTGAGAAATCCCCCATGGACAGTGACGGGATCAGATTCCAAGATTTATTAGTTTAGAGCTGTTCCTCGTGTCCGCAGTTCAGCTCAGTAGCCGTCGGACATCTGAGCGCTTTTAATTACTATTCCAGCTCTGCAAATGCCGTACAAAAATGGTTTTGATCACGGCTCACAGATAGATTTTGCTGTCCCTCACCTCACTGTTACAGCTATTTCTGGCAAGAGCATTGCAATGGAGAGCGGCTGCTAACAGGGGTAATACAGAAGCGAGAGGAAAAGTTCTAGATCAGGGCTCACGCATCCCATCCTGCAAGTATTTGTGCACATATCGATAGAACTGCACTCCTCGAAGCAGTTATTTGTACTCTTCCAACAGCCCTGTTACTGTTTTGGGGAGAGCAAGCATTTGCAAGTTTGGCTGTTGTTCCTAATTGTGGCTTTTTTATTCCTGGAAAATCACGACACCTTTTACAGATGTTTTCAGCCCTTCCTACTCCGTGAGAAAAATGCTGAACGCGTTGCACAATCGCAGATACGTCAAGTTCTGGGGAATGCTCTCAAAAGCAAAGGTGTAATATTCCGAACACTGGCGAAATCCCTAAAACCCTTTGAGCTGAAGCAGTAAAAGACAAGCAGCTACCGTGTGCCAGCGGCAGGAGTAAATTCTGTGACACAGAGAGCTGAGGAGTATTTTAAACGAGAAGGGGAAAAAGTGTCACGATCGAATAACTGCGGGTTTCCCTCTTGCTTTTCATTTCAGAGATTGCCGAGAGCAGTGTGGGTGCGATGGGGGATCTGGGAACAGCGAAGCTGTGCCAGAATATTGTTCCGCTCAGGGTAATTATTTGTGATGCTGGGAGAGCAAATGCATCGTAGCCTTAACTTCAAGGAAGGGCAGTACTCCTCCTCGGCAGAATTTACCCGATGGGCAGGAAAGGCATTTTCAGAGACTGTGGAAAACCCATGTTTTAACCAATACAAGACCCCGTCACCTCTGTGACGCTGAACTGGAGCGGCCGAGCTCTGCTACCCTGCCTGGCACGGCGTTTGCCGCGGTGCCTGCACTGCTGTGGTCCTGTGGTGCGGCAGGAGGAGCGGCTGCAGGGATCTCCGCGGCACGAAGGTCTCCCAGCACCCTGCGCAATGCCGGCTGCTTCGGAAGGAGCCTTATCCCTGCTCTACCCGTAGCTGGGAGGTCCCAAAAAGCTGCTGAGAACCAATTCCTCCTCGTTTCCCTGTGTAGGTGCGGATCCCAACCTGATATTTGCCACCTACCGAATCCTCCTCGGACATAACGGTCTCCCCCCTTGCAACCCAACGCCTACGCTGCTGCAGGGCTTCTGTGCCAAAGCTGCCGAGAAAACGGCCGGGCTTGGACCGCCCTGGGAAAAACCCCGCCGAAGGCGCGGGCTGCTCCCTGGCGCTCCCCAACACTGCTCGCTCCCACGGTTATCTTAGGGGGGGGAAAAAAAGGGTAAAAAAAGTTAAAAAGAGAGACTGAGTAGAGCTTCTTACCTTTCTCCTTCTGTGAAGCTGCCCGGAGGATTCCAGCGAGTTCTGGTGCCGAGGAGACCCCTCAGGGCTTTTATAAACCCGAGCTGCGCAGGACCGAACCCGCTCCCATGAGGTAAACAGGAAATCAAGCACCTAATCAAAGCAATTCAAGCCCACTTAGAGCTGCTTCATTAGGTCCATTGACCTACGGAGCAGGAAAAGAACCTTTTAAAATATGTTTACATTAATGGCAATTAAACATCGCTCTATCACAAACCCAGGAATGAACGTGGGCTGTGGGCACGATGCGCATGGCGCTGCTCTAAACCTTGACTCCATGTAGCACCTCCCTCCACGGTAAAAACCCCCTTAATTTCCACCTTTTCTTTTGGCAAGTGCACCTCAGAGAGACCCCATCTGCTCCTTCCCTTTCTTACAGGGGGAATAGCTTGGCTCAAAGCGATAGCTCCCATCATTGGTATTTTCGTCACCGTTGAGTCCGGGCAGCCCAGCTGTGGTCTGCAGCCCCTTCTGCAAACCCCAAATACTAAAACCAGTGTCTTTCCCCCAAAACACACATTCTGAGAGGAGAAGACTTGGGCTGGAGAGCGGCAGGCAGGGAATTAGAGGGAAATGGTGAGGCAGCATCGGTTAGCGAGGCGGAGGGTGGAGGCAGAGCAGCCGCCCATGCCGGGTGGGGGATAGCAGCTGGAGCCCGGCACCCATTTGGGCTCTTTCTGTCCTGGGCAAGTGATGGAGTGCGTCCCTGTGGCTCTGCGGCTGCTGGGGACGCGGGTCAGCGAGGCCACTGCCTCCCCCTGCCCTTGCGCAGCTGGATCCAGGAGAGCAGATGTTCTGCAGATGTGAATTGCGCCATCGGGGTGCAAGGGGTACGTCCGCTTCCATCGGCTCTGCGGGGACCGCCTGCCTGGTAAGGAACCCTCCCGGCATCTGACCTGCCCCGCTTCCCTGCGTCTCTCCGGGAGAACCGGACCCATCGCACTTCAACGCATAAATCCTGCTCGGGGACCACTGCCAGGCGCGTACCTGCTGCGCCGGGACCCCCGTCACCCCCAGCTTCAGAGCGGAGCAGGATTACGGCTGCGCCAGCCTAACCCACGGGCTGAGCTCCGCTCCCGTTGTTCCGGAAGCAAAGCAGTGCCCGTAGCTCCGCAGAGCACAGCCCTGTCCGCAGCTCGGTGCCCCCGAGCAGCCTGGGCTCTGGCGGGAGGGTGTCCAAGCTACGACCTTCCCCTCAGCTCTGCCAGTCTCTTTTTATTTTTCTTTTCTTTTTTTATTTTTGGTGGAGCTCAGCAGAGCTGCTCGGGGCAGTAACCCCGCACACCTGGGTGCAGGGGGGACGCGTGTGCCCGTGTGTGTCCTCCCAGGGTTGTGCTGGCTCAGCCACGCCGGGGCTTTGCGTGGGGAAGCGCTGGGATTTCTGGCTGCCAGGGCTGAGCACGAAGCAGCCCTTAGTGGAACTGCAGCAGAAACGGCAAAATCGAAGCGTCGGTGGTTTCGGCGTGGGAGAGGGTTTCGCTGCGCTGGCACGGTGCCCCCAGCACGTGCAGAATTGCAGCGTGACGAGGTGCGTGTCCCCGCGCAAAGGCTCCCTGTCCCGCAGTTCCCTTCGGAAAAGCGGCTTTTCTGCATCTGCTGGGACGCGCTCTCAGACACGGGCTGGTTCCAGCCGCTACCTGTGCTCCTGCACCAGGAGACGGCCGAGCGGGGGACGGACCGCATCCAGCTCAGCCCGCTGCGGCAGGGGCGAGCTCTTGCAACTCCCCGGCGCAGGCAGCCTCTCCAGCAAAGGGCGTTGCGTCCATATTGCGCTAAGAGCGAGGCTCGGAAGGGCGCTGTTGGGGTACATTAAGAGTTCAGTGCTATTAGGGATTAATTACTACTTCCATGGGAGCTACTGAACACGTGGCTTGGTCCCTTAGTGCGCAGCACGTGCGCGTGCCAGGGTCTCCAAAAGCTTTGCACCCATGCAGAAGCATCGCGCCTGCCGCAGTAAGTGAGGCATGATGGTAGTTACCAATAACCGACGGGCACTCCTAGCACAGTTGTTAATCAATAAATGGAATAGTTTATCCTGGTCTCTTTATTATATGTGTTCTGGGCACTTCACTCCCAGCCAACCCCCATATCTTGTTTCTCCAAAGGGCAACCTATTTGTTTTCCTCTCATTAAGTGCCTCTGTAGGATATAAAGTTAATAGAGTGAAATAAATATCCAGCAACGTTAAACGGTGACCCGGGGTTCGCAGTTAGGGCTGTTTCGGGGCATCTGCTCATGGTGCAGTTGGGACAGCGGCATCACTCTCGGATTTCTCGCAGTCTTTCAAGCCAACCCCCAGGTACGCAGCGGTTGTTCCCGAGGCCAGGCGGGCGCTGTCTGCCTTTCATCCTGTCTGTCTGACAGCCACCGAGCGACGCCTGAAACGCTGAACCTCTGCGTGCCAGGTCAGGTCTGGCGAGGGCAGAGGCGACGAGGGACGTGCTGACCCAGAGAAGGGCTGCGCGCCCGCGTCCGCTCGTCCCAGGGTCTGATTAGCGCCGCAGACCTCGCTCGTCCCTTCTCAGCCCGCCGCAGCCGCCCTACCCTCGCCGCGTTACCTGCCGTCTGCTGCCATGGCACGAGCCATTTCCCAAGCTTCAGCCGGGTCCCGGCTTGGGACAGAGGACGCTTTAGCCTAGGTTTCACCCAGCCGCGGCGTTTGTCTCCCTGCAACTTTATCGGGAGAGCCAGGGCTGCCAGGCAGCGCTTAGCGAGCCCGCTCTCCTCTTCCCCGCAGCAGCCCTGACTCGAGGAGCTGGTGTCTCAGGAATTCGGGAATGCGTTGGGAAGATCACAGCTGCGTTGCTGAAAGGTCCTTCTGCTCTGCTCTGGGACGCCGGAACATCTCAAGGGCAACTTTGATTATAAAGCATTTCAAGCAT